GGGTATTGGGCTCTCTGGGTCCTCAGCTCTATACTCGAAATCTGAAGGCCGAACGCCTCAAAGACCGGAAGGTTAGGGTTTAGGGTTTAGGGTTTAGAGTTTAGGGTTTAGGATTTAGGGTTTAGGGTTTAGGGCACTGAAGTTAAGGTTAGACTTAGTTCTCCAAAACCCAACCTTTAAGCTTTTTTGGGTTCTTATAATTTAGTAGTAACCTGAAAGTTTAACCTTTCATTTTTCTTGGCTTATTGAGGAAGTAAGTAGAAGTACGGGCCCCTAATATGGACCTTTAGGCCTTTCTAGGGACGCTCAAGGGTACGGAAAGGGTATATAGTAGGTGTACTGAACATAAAAACAGGCAACCATCACCCAATGTAGGGGCCTTATGAGAATAGGATTTTGGGGGTTCCTTCAAAAGGGTTCCTTAAAGGGTTCTATAAGGGCTACAATAAGGGTCTAGGGTGTCGTGGCCTGAATAATTAGAATTAGGGTTTGGGGCCCATTATACTACAAGTGTGAAAAGGAATCCCCAAAATAGCATAGGTAATTATTAAGGCCCCTATACTAGCAGTAACATGTCCCAATCACGATGTTTGTAAAGCCTCAATCATGATGTTCGTATACCCAGTGCAGAGTTCGACCCCTCAAGCTCCACTCATCGCTGAAAACTCTCCGAGGAGCTCTTCGTTCTTCTCAATCAAGTGCTCCTTGCCTGGGAGGAAGTAGGTGCCTCGGTCAAGGATCCAAGGTGCAGCTTTCAGTTGTTTTTTCTAGGGCTAAGGTTTTAGCCTTTGAAGTTTAGGGTTTTAGGCTTCAGACTCGATCCAGTTACCTCTCAGATGGATCACCGAGTAAAGCTGGAGCTTGCCTATATCAGAAGAGATCCGGATTTAGGGCGTAGGGGTCTAGGGTTTAGGCAACTTTTGGCTACACCGAGTGCTTCTCAACCACCAGCAAGTCCAGGCTTGCTTGCTTGGCGCATGGCCCGCATCAAACCTCCTACGTGTTGGCAATATCGGGGTCGTTATAATTAGAAGACGCTTCTGGGTTACACCAGGTTTAGGGTTTAGGGTTGTCGATGGCAACCTACTGTAGGGGCCTTAATAATTAGAACAGGGTTTTGGGGCCGACTATACTATAATTATAACAAGGCCCCCCCTCCAAATAATATAGGTAGTTGTTTAGGCCCCTACATTACAAGGTCCGGGTGCTCAGCGCTTTCCCCCTAAACCCTAAACCCTAAACCCTAAACCCTAAACCCTTAACCGTCCGGAAGCCCCGACGCCCAAAAGCCCGCGCAACCCAAGTCCCCATCTCTTCCGACGTCCCTAAACTAAGGGAAGAAACGGTTTAGGGTTTAGGGTTTAGGGTTTAGGGTTTAGGGTTTGGGGTTTAGGGTTTAACCCTAAACCTAAACCCTAAACCCTAAACCCTTATAGTAGGATCCCCAAAATGATTTAAGGCATATAAACCTTGACGAAGAGAGTGTGCCCAGAGAGCCCAATACCCTTTAATTACAGAATATACCTTAAAGTATAAAGGGCTAAATATTACGATTTACCTTAAAGTATAAAGGGCTTAATATAATGATTTAAGGTATATTCCTTATGTAAGGGGTATTTTGGCTCTCTGGGTGGAAGATCTGTGCCCAACTCGAAGGCCGGGGAACAGGGTGGGCTGTGCTTGTAGACGTATTGCGAGCGGAGGCAGTAGACCTTCAGTGGCACAGGGTTTAGGGTTTAAAGGTTTAGGGTTTAGGGTTTAGGCAGCTGGGCCACTGACTTGCAACGGCATATGGAAGGAGTGCATGATAAGTTTTGAATCTTACTTGTGTTAACAGGCTCGATCTTGCCTCACCTGAGTGCGTCGGGACCATACACAACTCGCTATAATGCTGCAGCACCTAATCTAGGGGCCTTAATAATTAGAATAGGGTTTGGGGGTATGTTATACTAACTATAATAAGGAACCCCCCAAAAACCCTACTCTACTTATTAAGGCCCCTAAATGATGACAGAGACAAAGATGGGCTGGCAGCCAACCCCCCGAGCCCTGGGGCCTCATTGTCAACCATTCTTCAAAGCCTCTGACATTTTGACGCCGTGTCGTGACCGGTTTAGGGTTTAGGGGTGTAGGGGTTTAGGGGTTTAGGGTTTAGGGTTTTGACGCAGTGTCGTGACCGTGGCTGGCCTTACTTTTGAAGTCCAGAACCTATTCGGCTGAAACCCTTCAGCTTGCAAAACAAAACCCGAAAAACAACTCGAAACAAAACACAAACAATGACTCCAGCACACAGCTCTAGGGGGTAAAGGGTTTAGGGTTTAGGCCCAGCACACACCTCTAGGTTTGAAGGGCCCTGGCCGGGTTCGCAGTGAACCAGGAGCAGGCTAGGCGCTGAGAGCAATCCTGCAAAGTCTTCCCAAAGAGCCCAATACCCCTTAAAATAAAGGAAAATATTATTTACATCATAATATTAAGCCCCTTATAAGTTAAGGTATAAGGGGCTTAATACTATTCAGTTATTCAAATCAGAATATTAAGCCCTTTATAATTTAAGGTCTATTCTTTAATTAAGGGGCATTGGGCTCTCTGGGTTCTTCCGTTGAAGGTTGCAGTGATTGCAATGTTTGGAGCTCGGGCATTTGTCTAGACTTGTTGTCGGCAGATGACGTTTGGGATTGCAAACGTACCTCTGCTGGAAGAGAAAGCTCTCAGCACAGTCCTCGAAATGTGCAAGCGATTCTTGTGAGTGGTATGCTGTATGAAGGTCCTGTTTGCGTCCCCGAAACCATGTGTCATTCTTCTACAAAGGCAAGGAAAAATCTTCTGTGCAGAAAACCCCACATGTCTCCTTGTAGGTGTTCGTCTCAGCACCATCAGACTCGCCAGTCCTCGGATAGACGAAAGTGCTGATGGAACTCCCCTTTGAGAAACTGTGCAGGCAAATCCCTAGTGATTTTGATAGTCGGAGCTCTTCGCAGCCAGAAGATGGTACCCCAAACCCTAATGAACCCTGCTCTCATGCCAATGTGGAGCCTGCCTGTGATCAAGCAGGACAGGTCCCTGACCTTCAAGCTGCCCTCAACTTTAAACCGAGAGAGGTTTACGGGCTTAGGGGTTTAGCGTTTAGGGTTTAGGCTGCCCTCAACCTGAAACCGAAAGAACTCTCTCTCTCTCTCTAACAAGGCTTATGTGACGGAGAATACTTTTTCTATCATTACCAAGCACAAAAAGCCCCTAAACCCCATAAACCCCATAAGCCCTATAAGCCCCTAAACCCTAAACCCTAAACCCATAAACCCTAAACCCTAAATCCTAAGTTGAGCCTTGCACACGTCTCCTGCAGTCCCAAGCTCAGGCCGAACTTGGGCACGACATACTTCAGGAGCCTGCAGATGAGAGGGTTACTTTAAGTTTAGGGCTTAGGGCTTAGGGTTTAGGGTTTAGGGTTTGGGGTTTAGGGCTTAGGGTTTAGGGTTGCAGAGTTTTAAGGTTTGGGGCTGGAAAGCTAAATCCACGCTGTGAACAAGCCTTTCGTACTTGCAGCCTCTGGGCAAGTTGTTTGCAATGTTTGTCACTTAGGGCTGAGGGGTTTACTGTTAAGCGGTCTCCAGACAGACAGGCATGCGGACATAGATTAAGCGACCGATGTGAATGATGAAAGGAACAGCAAAGGCATGATGATGGCAGGATTGATTGGGGGCGGCAGGACCAGTTGCCAAGCTTCAGCTTGTAAAGCGGGTGCTTTCCGGGGTTAGATGTGGAGTGTTAAAGATCTTCCAGTATCTCCCTTCACGAAGCCCTATACTCCCTCCCAGCGACCTAAGCCCTAAACCCAAAAACCAGGAAACACCAAAACGTGAACCGCTAAATGGTCGAGGGGAAACAACACGACCGCTCTGCGGTCTGTTTTGTAGGACTCAAGGACGTAACACTATGATATACGACAATGCTGCAGCGGCCTCACTTGGTTTAGGGTTTAAATTTGTGATTTGACCGTTAAGGGGTCGTTCTTCTACTCGATTTCTGTTTGGTGTTCGTCATCTGTATCGGGCAGCTTTTCGTCGTTTCCTCTGCATCCAGGTGGTGTTTGATGCAAGAGCCTTTTTTTCTAGCATCTTCGGCCAAGCTTTTGCGACCGTCGTGAAATGGGGAATTCCGACAGTAGGGGAGCCTAATATAGCACCCTAAATGATAGGATCCTTATTATAAGGACCCCAAAATAAGGTACCCCTCATTTCGGAAACTCCCAAATCAATCTCTCGTCTTTTCAATCGTTCTGACCAGGCAAATCGCACGCCTCTAAGACTTTGTAGGCTCTTGGCCGGTCGAGTTTAGGGTTTAGGGTTGAGGGTTGAGGGTTTATGGTTGAGGACTGAGGGTTGAGGGTTGAGGATTGAGGGTTTAGGGGTGATTGTGTTGCAACCGGTTGCTGTTCGGTTTTCCTCTCTTCACCTATTTCGTTCCGAACTTCGCAACCTGTTTTCGACAACCTCCAGCTTACTTGATTCTGTTCGGTTTTCCTCTCTTCACCTATTTCGTTCCAAACTTCGCAACCTGTTTTCGACTTCCTCCAGCTTACTTGATTTGAACTTGCCCTACGTTTGCATTGTCACATACTGTAATTGAGATTTCCGTAGGTTAGACGACCTTCCAACATCTTTGGAATCCAGGGTTAAACAACAGCTTGATGGCGTTCGATGCTGTGAGATGAGGATGTTAAAGTGGTCATTTGCATGTCATGACCACACAAGCAACACTTCTTGCTGTCGAAGAACAAAGGGAGATTGGGCACAAGGCTACAGCTGAAAGAAGACCCCAGGACCCACTTCAACCAGCAAGTCTACCGCACCAGGCACAATGCCTAAGCGGCGAAGCCTCTTGTTCAAATCCTGTTCTTCATGAACTAAACCCTGTCACCCTGTCTCAAACCCTGAAGATTATGTCCCTCAGCTTTTTCCGGTCCAGGCACACGGTGTGGAGCAGGATGTGGGCAAAGAACGCCAGTGCACATGCAGTAACCATCTCGTCTCCTGCCCCAGGTCATACACCAGCTGCAAGGCGGTATCTTCAAGCGATAGCGTATCCCTTACCGTATCTCTTCCTAGGTTGGCCCCTCAAAGCCTCTGAAAAATGGTCGTAAATAAGATCCTCTTAAGCCCAATAAGGGAAAATATAATATGTCCCAAAGGCCTACGGAGCTTCTGATTGGACAGAGCGATCTGCAGTGAGGTGACTACATGGTGACCTCTACGAGCATCGCTTCGAGAGACCGAAGAGCAGTGCGCACCGAGTTGCGCTTGACATTGTTGAGGGTTTATCTAAGGGCTTTAGGAGGGACCCTTAATAGGGACCCTTGTAGGTTATTGGGGTTAATATGGAGACTACCTGGCTTTAAGGTAATGGGATTAAGGGTCCCTATTAGGGGTCCCTCCTAAAGTCCTTAGAGTTTAGGGTTTAGGGTTTTTGGGTCTGTCTCAACTTCTGACGGCTGATCTGCCTATATAACGTGTAGAGGTCTGTTCTCTGCTCCGATTGCGTGTGGCTAAAGGAGTCATTGTATTTCCTCACAAGTAAGATTAGGGCTCATCAGCCAAAACGTCGTACAACTCCACCAGTAAAGCAGCAGGAGTGTCTGGTGCCGAGTGCTCGAAGCAAAACTTGACAAGACTTGCAGCAGCCCAGTTATCAGTAAACAGAAGATCGTTGAGCGCACGATGGATCACAGCTGTCTCCAAAATGCTTGGGGGTGCGTGTGCTTCACAGTCACGGAACCCCTGTCCCCAACCGCGGCAGCCTTCCATGCAGAAGTATCCCGGCTGGCAGTTGGCCTCTGCAAGCAGAGTGCTAAACATATCCTAAAACACCTCCGTCCGACACAAAGAACTGCATACGTGTCTTGGGCGTACGGCCATGGGCGAAGGCTTTAGGATGTGGGTCAAATTTCTTGTCTGACCAAGTCTAGGCCCTCCGCTACCTTAACCTCTAAGCCCATTTACCCTGAACCCTAATATAGGGGCCCTACTAATTAGAATAGGGTTTTGGGGCCCATTATACGATAGTTGTACTCAGGAACCCCCAAAAAATAATATAGGTGATTATTCAGGCCCCTATAGTAAACCCATATACCCTAAACCTAAACCCTAAACCCTAAACCCTAAACCCTAAACTCAAACGCCTTGAAGACGAAGCAGGCCAACATGCAGCCACAGGGGATGGCCATCAGCCACTGCGACCACCAGTCCACCATCTTGTCCTTGCCCGTACGCGCAGCTGTGGACTCTAAGGCTTGGGCTTAGGGTTTAGGGGCTTAGGGTTTAGGGGTTCAGGGGTTTAGGGTTGAGGGTTTAGGGGTTTAGGGGTTTAGGGGTTTAGGGTCTAGGGGCTTCGGGTTTAGGGGTTTCGCGTTTGGGGTTTAGGGTCGAGGGCTTATGGTTCGGGGTTCAGGGCCTAGGGGGTCTAAGGTTCAGGATGTGGCAACCCTAAACCCTAAACCCTAAACCCTAAACCCTAAACCCTAAACCCTAAACCAGGACAGGAATTCTTTTTGAAGGAGAGAAACTGGTGGGGAACTCAGAGAGCCGAATAACCCTTAATTAAGGAATATACCTTAACTTATACGGGGCTTAACATTATGATTTAAAGTATATTCCTTATTTAAGGGCTCTCTGGGAATGTTGTGAAAAGTTGCCTATGTATTCACAGGAAACAGCAAGCTCCTGGTAGCTCCAGGCTGAAACAGGTTTGCAAGAGTGCGAGCAGCAAAGCTTGACATTCTTGCCTCTTCAATCGTCTTTTTCACTAGCAACTTTCTGTAAACTCTATGTATGACCCCCCTAAACCCTAAACCCTAGACCCTGCATCCGCAAGCGGCATTACTTAGAGTGCAGGCTGTCTAGACAACATCATCTATCCTCCATAATCCAGCCCACAGCTTCTGACTGTTTTTGGGGCCTTCGTGCAACTGCTGAACCCTAATATAGGGGCCGTAATAATTACCTATACTATTCTGGGGGTTAATGATTATCACCATAGTTTTATGTCCCCAAAGCCCTATTCTAACTATTAAGGCCCCTATACTAAATCCCAAAGCTTTGCAGACCGTGAGTCTGTGTAGTTGCAGCTCTGGATGGACCGGAGGACGCGGTAGTGGTCGAAGGCGTAGATGTACACGTGGGACAAGGCCATGCCAAGGAACATCCTCAACGGTTTAAGCGGGCTTCGGGTGTAGGGAAATGTGACGGAATAGACCGGCTCCTGCTTCCCGTCCCAAAATTTGCAAAACAAACGCGGCGCACTCTCTCGCATCGGCTGCCCTATGGCCTTGGTTTTGTGGTTCCATGGTACGAGCTCTGTCGAAGTGCTAGGTGCTTTGACAAGCAGGGGTGGAAAGACAGGGCCCACAGCATGTCTCCTCGTAGGCCTCACATGACACATATACAAATGGCCTGCCAGAATCTTGACACTTCCCGTGAGGCCGAGGCATATCCCACTATAGTCCCGGCAGTATTTGTCAGGACACGTAAGGAATGATGTTACCGATTGTTCGAGGCCCCTATAACATTTTTCTAAGGCACTGAATGTTGAAGCCGCCTGGGAAGAAGAAGATGAGCACGGCGATCATTGCATCCAGCATCAGGTCCTCAGCAAAAAGCTCCAGCGGTTTTGGATAATGGGGCTGGGGCAAGCCATATCCCTAAACCCCTAAATCCTAAACTTTCGCGGGCCCTCAAAACTCCCGCCCCAATATTCGTATACCACAAGGCCCTCAACTGCCCTGAAGCTGACAGCTTAAATGCAGAGGACCCCAAGGCCCAAAACCCAAACCTCTCAGCCCTAGGCCGGCCCCTGCACTCCCAAACCGCAAAAAGCCCTAATATAGGGGCCTTAATAATTACAATAGGGTTTTGGGGGCCAGAAAGGAACCACCAAAATAGTATTGGTAACTATTTAAGCTCCTAAAATAACCTGTCTCGTCTGCCCTAAACTCCAAAGCCCCAAGACTCAGAATCTCAGACCTCCAACCCTAAACCCTGAAACCCTAAACTCCATACCATCCACCCCGGAAACTTCAAATGAGAGCCTACCTGAGTTCATCCATGCTGCGCCATACCTAAACTAAACCCCTTGAAACCCTAAACCCCTAAACCCTAAACCCTGAACCCCTGGACCCCAAAAGCCCCTTGACACCCTTCTAAAACCCAAAGAACCACAGCCACCTCAATTCGTCACCCGAGCTGCGGCATAGCGCGAGAGATCGAAGACCAAACCTCCCAACAAGTTCTCGGCCATGAAGCCCTGGAGTTCAGGTACTAGGGTTTAGGGTTACTAGGGTTACTAGGGTTTAGGGTTTTAGGGTTTTGGGGTTCAGGGCTTAGGGCTTATGGAGTTCAAGCAATGTAGGGGCCATAGTAATTAGAATGAGGTTCCTTTAAAGGGTTCTATAAGGGTTACTGTCAGCCCTGGAGTTCGAGTAGGTGTAAGGGTTCCTGAAAGGGTTTAGGGTTTTAGGGTTACTAGGGTTTAGGGTTTAGGTTTGCGAAGGTTCATGGTTTGAGGGTTAGTAGGGTTTGGCGCAATGTACTTGGAGGGTCGGGGGACTTAGGAAGTAGGTAATAAGTAGGCTTATAAGTACCCTCAAAGGGATCCTAATTCGGGTTATGGTACTTATAAGTCTACACTAATAACTAGCTACTAAGTCCCCCGACCCTCCAAGTAGGGGCCTTAATACTTAGGATGGGGCCCTAAACCCTAAACCCTAGGATGGGGTCTTGGGCTGCCTTTTTAGCCTTTCGTTGTAATGAGGGACCCTAAAGAATAATCGAATAATCTTGGTAATTACTGTGGGTTTAGGGGTTTAGGGGTCTAGGGTTTAGGGGTTTAGGGGTTTAGGGGCTTAGGGGTTTAGGGGCTTAGCGGTTTAGGGTTTAGGGGTTTAGGGGTTTAGGGTTTGGGGTTTAGGCTTCTATAGTAGGTTTAAGGGTCCCAAAAAGGGTTTAGGGTTTAAAGGTTCCTTCAAAAGAATAGTTCCAATGGGGTGTTGGGTTTGGGGTGTTACAGGTTTTAGGGGTCTAGGAGGTTTTGATGGTTTAGGAGTTTAGGGTTTTAGGGTTTAGGTTTTCTTAGGTGATGGTTGAAGGTTAGAGGATTGCACGTCTCACTTTCGGTTCGAGCTCGGGAGTTCAGGTGTAATGGAGTGGGGTAGGGGATGCAGTAGGCTGTGTTCCTAGGTGGGCTCTTGCAAGCCTTTAGAAAAAGCTCGTAAGCACTCTCTTCTTCAATAGCCGGGCCCAAAAATTTTCAAACTTTCTAAGATAGACCAAAGATATGTGACCAGAAACTTGAAACTCCCACTCGCTATGTAAGAGTATGATCCTCTTCGGCCCAACACCCGATAAGGGACAACATCAAGTCTCCCTAAAAGGCCGACCTAGGTTTGAAACTCAAGATGCAAAGTTTCTGGAATGACGAGGTTGAAGGGTTTGGGGGCTTCAGCCTTCCAAGAAGTGACACCATCGGAAAGCGATGCGGGAGATTCGACTTTGCTTCACTGCTAAGGCCTTAGCCCGGAATCCTGGGCGGGCCCAGTGCAAAGTCCTACATCATTGTGCACTTGCGTCGTATTTTTCCGCCTGGTATCGGCGAAGCCGTCACGATACCAGCACCACGCAGAACATATGCCTCCGAAATGAACACCCTCATCTAACAGCAAGAGGATACGGGCAACAGCAGCCAGGATCGAATGGCCTTAATGTGCGGCTGCGTGCGGATGATCATGACCATGAGCCTCCCACACAGACGGCACTGTTGTCAGGGCTTGAGCTTCTAGGCGATCTTTGAATGTGGCTGCTTGGTGGCTGTCGTCGCACAGTGCCCTAAATCGTGTAGCCTGTGTCAGCCTGGCATCAAATGCTGGCCTGCGAGCATGTGGTGCAAAAGCCGTGGCAGACTCTTTGGAACCAGCATTCGGGGCATGTAAAGGCCTTCCTCTATTTCTAATCGGCTTCTGAAGCTTTTGCCGTCCATCTTGACCACAGGACTGGCTTTGCCTTCAATTCCGCTACGATGGGTGGAGTCCTAAACCCCAAACCCCACTCTTCTCGTGGGAGATCTCGGCTCAGTTTGCAAAGCTCTGCTGAGGTCATACTCAGCTTGCACATTTCAGGTTAAGGTTTAGGGTTTAGGGTTTAAGGCGACACTACAGAACCTAACAATCGACTCGCCCCGTCCAAAAGCTTAATCCCAAATGCAACCCAGAACCCAAGAGAGCCCGAAACTCAAATCCTGCCAAGTGTCTTGTAGGGTGCGTAGATGGTCGCAACGGGCTCAATGAGGAAAGGGATGAGGAAGGTTGCAGGGAAGGCATAGGCATAGAGGTTGTTCCTAACGCGGAGCTCATGTTTTGGGCCGCTGGATGGCTGCTTCAGGATTGTTCGACACCCTGTGTGTTTGTAACGGCATCCTCTATGTGGGGCTTGGGTTCAAGCTTCTGGGGTGCAGGGCTTTTTGTGAGGGGATTAACATGACCAGCAGACAATGACGTTTTATTTTGAGAACGAGGCACAGTAGCATTGCGATCTGGCATCCCCTACCGATAGACTCCTCAAACACACCCTGGGTCAGCAAACCAAAACCAGAGATTGGATTGAACCAAGAAGTCAAGAAGGCTGGCCCCTGTCTCAAAACGAGGCGTCTGTCAAAGAAACCTACCCTGCAGCTGGCGTTCTGACGCGTGCCATGCAAACAAGAACTCGAAACGCTCACGCTAAACCCTAAACCCTAAACCGTTGATGCCTGCAGGCTGTACTGCTGAAGTCGTACAGTCCATGGAAATACTCACCTTCGGAGTCGTCATCTCGGTAGCGGTGCAAGCCCTAAACTCCAGGTTTTGGCGATTGGGGCTTTAGGGTGGGTCTGGCCAAACTACCACAGGACCGCCAAGAATGAGGGTTGGGATAGAACCGGAAGCACTAGCAGTAGCATAGCTCGAAATTCTGCGCACACTTGTTCAACTCTTGCTGACTCTCATGACATTGATATGGGAGTTTCCGAACATAAGGGGCATCGGAACATGTCATCCCCGAAGCCATACATTGTGACAATGCCGACGTCGGGTAGCTTTGAAACGGCATGACCTGTCGCGTTGCTGCGCCCCAGAAACTCAATCCAAGGGTCGCCAGGGTGCGCTGCATGGCATAGGATTCGAAGCGGTCGGAGAAGGACCTGGTTTAGGGTTTACGGTTTAGGGTCTAGGGTTTAGGGGTTTAGGGGTTTCGGGGTTTCGGGGTTAGGGTTCTGCTGTGTTGCAAGTCCTTCCACAGGACAAGATGGCAAGGAACATCGGATTCTCAGGGGATGCTGCAGGAAAGGAATGTATCTGAGTTTCTCAAGCCGAAAGCACTTGGGGTGGCATGCTGCTTTCGTCGCCTTCTCAATAGTAAGGCTGCAGAGTAAGAGCAGAAAGTGTGGCATTGCAGATACTGTCAGAAGGAGTAGCGGCAGTAGTAGGAAGTGTGGTCGTCGTTGTAGAGGTACTAGTAGTGGTGGTCGTAGTGGTACTCGTCGTTGTCGTCGTGGTGGTGGTGGTTGTTGTCGGAGTAGTAGCAGTAGCAGTAGCACTAGTGTCAGCAATAGCAGAAGCAGCAGCATAGGAGTGGTAGTAGTAGTAGTAGTAGTAGTAGTAGTAGTAGCAGCAGCAGCAGCAGCAGCAGTAGTAGCCGTCGTCGTCGTCGTCGTCGTCGTTGTAGTAGCAGCTATTGGTAGGAGTAGTACTAGGCCAGATGCATCAGTAGCAGCACCATAAACTAAGAATAATTGAGGGTGATTTATATGTGGCCGCTA